AGGTCCTTCAGGTCCAGATGCTCCCATTATACTTCCATTAACAGAAGTGAGAAGGAGACATCCAACTGGTATTTTTAAAATCATCACTTTAGAAGTCAAAAATATCATTCAGTGTGTTTCAGAAGAGATTCTTCCAGGACATTAAATGCAACAATAACACAAGTCATAAAAACCTATACATTTTAAGTTCTCCTGCCTGGAAACACTGTCAAGGTATTTTTGACATGAGCTTTAAAACAATGCTTGTAAGGAGACAGAAATGCCTTTTCATAGTTACTTTTTCTGAGCTATGTGTCCTCATATTCATCCCACAGCATCCAGGACCAGGATTACCCAGATGCAGACAGTTCTCACACACACACAAAAAAAAAAAGGTGTCTCACACCAGCCACTGTCCTCACATACCACTATGCTAAATAGGCTTAGGGAAAAGAAGTTTCTCAAAAATGTAAGCAGAGATGAAGGAGCTAGCTCCTCCAGAGTATTGTCAGACTGAGGCCCAAATAAGCATGATTTTAGAAGCTTTTCTTCTGGCAAGAGTATGTAGGCAGTGAGCCCTCTCCCCCTTCCCAAAGGGAAGTACTCCATGTAAAGAAATGGTCATATTTAAAATTACACTTTCAGGTATTTCACAGGACAGCTCTTTATATACATATATATATATATATATATATATAAATGTCTATAAGAACTATATGTAGGTTAACATTTAATCTTACTTTGATATAGTGATCTTTTTTGTATTTGAAGTCATCTGCTACAAAGCAAATTGCACTTTACACAATAGAAGGGGATTTTGCTTCATCACATTATGAAGTATAAAAAGTTACTTCCTACAGTAAGATAGTTTGATTTTTAACTTTAGATGCCAAAAAAAAAAAAAAAAGCTAATTTCCAAAAGAGTTTGCTTGTCTGAAGCATGAGTTTCAGGGCCTGAAAACAACGTGGCGAGAACAAAACCCCTATAAGCTTTGATCTACTTACACATGCATGTTAGGAGTCTGTACATTCACTACTGGACCAAAATAAAACACAGGTCAAAATAAACTCATATGAATAATAGGAAATATGAATAAATGAAACAGCAGCAACACCACTATACACATCAACTTTAAACCACTAGCATATTACAGTTGGATACAGTATTGATAGAGCTATGCTAGAAGTGTGATGGGTTTAAAAGAGTCTATAATCAAATTAAAACTATGGGGGTTTGTCTCATTGCTACATAGTCTTTATCAACAGAAAATGTGCACCTAAATGCATTATCAAATGCCTAAAACTTAGAAAAAAGAACACTAAAACGACAGCAAAGACAGTTTAAAATTACTAAGGACTATGGCAATGTCAAACCATTAACTGTCAATATCAATAGACCTGGGTTAGTTTTACTGTCTCTTTAGTGAGTGTAACACAGATATTCAGAGCACTCCTTTGGACTTTTTTCTCATATCCATTTGAAGAACAACAGTGCTTCCTTCCCTTCCCCCCCAGCAACCGTAAGCCAGTTTAGAGCTGAAGTAAGGTATTGGTATGAACACAAACACCACAGGTGTACCTGCCCTCTCCACCTTAACCCCCATACCCAGAGGATGCCATGGGGAGGCAGCCCCGGAGGGCCCCCCTGGCAGCCAGCCCCATCCCTCACCCCAGCAACAGGCCATGCCCACTCTCCCACACAGCTCTATGCTCTGATCACCCCTACACAGACATGAGCACTGCAACCCCAACTGGTTGCCGGCTCAGAGAGGGCTGTAACTTTGCACTTGCTATAGGGAATTCCAAGCTGACCTAGAGGAAGATGGGGATGGCTCAGCTGCTGGTAAACTCTCCAATGACTGACAAGCCAAGACCACCCTTATTCAGGCCAATATGGCATCCCCATTACATTTTTCACATTGAAAGCCTAATAATGTATTTTGTACATCTTTTATACCTGTGCCCATAAAGTAAGGACAGAGTACTTTTTGATTGTGATCCCAACACCTTCCAAGGACTTGAGCAAAAGATTGCTCACTCAAAGCATCTGCAAGCAAGCATGCACACACAGAGGAAGTTAAGCCCTCACACCTATTGCCTTGGTGTAAGCACAAACTTATTACGCATCTCACTTGAGTTGGTCTTCTCTACTCAAAAGTACCCATTTTTCTGCTACAAGAGTGATTCTGGCCCTTTTCTGCCTCTCCCTCTACACATATCTAACATTCATTCATTCATTCCAACAGTGAGAGTGAGTCTTTACTCCCAAATTAGTTCATTTGGATTGGGTATTTTAGGTTTTTTTAATTGTTTGTTGCTTTTTAAGGATTGTAGAATACTAAGCTATATCCAGAGAAATACAAAAACATAAGGAACAGCAGAAAGCACAGTGGGACAGAACCCTCCAAAATGCAAACCTATGTAAGTGCTCTTTCAAGTGTTTATACAAGTTAATACTAGCCTTGACTGAGTCACTGGGATTGAAGAGGCTTTTTCTATTTTCAAGTTAAGCAATAGTCAATTTTTTAGAGTGATACAGGTAACATTGAATAGAGCAGTCCAAATTTTTTAATTTCGTAGCAGATAACTTTGTAATATAGTCAAGTATTTTGGTGTTCCAGAAACATACTAAGTAGCAGATCGCCTGTAAGTGTCAAAGAGCTGGTTTACAAGCTCCCCCCCCCACCAACGTACACACACCAATACTACAATTTCTAAGACCTGTAATACGCATAAAAATTGAACTAATAAAGCACTGCAATTTTGTTACTCAGTTCTGAACCTAGTAACAGAAGATGCATGTTATTACTCTAGCATATGTCACAAAGTACTTTTATTTCCTTAGGCCTTCAGTGCAAATTGTTTTCTGCTCCTTTTAAATATACACATAAAAGCAATACCTAAGATAAAAAATTAAGTTGCACTGAGGAGTAAGAGAAAGAGGTTGTCAAACCCAATTCTCTCTGGAGCCTAATAAGTGACTTACTTTATTCCTTTATTTCTCCTTTCCGAAACACCCTGCAGCTCCAGTTTCCTCCCTTTGCCCCTTCCAGTTTCTCTTCTTTCAGAGGTCTGAGCACTTTCCCTCCTGTCCTCTCCATCCTATCAAACTATTCCACTTTGTTCCCGTACCAGAATCACACCCCCCTGGACATGAGAATTCCTTCACTTTGCTTCTCCTCCCTTCCAACAGCTTTGGGGACAAGTCACTCTGGAGACCAGTATATCACTTTTCTGGAAGGAGAACCAATTAGAGAATCATCCTTGTGCCAGAAGGCATTAACAGGGACAACAGCTACTCAAGCTACAAGCAGTTTTACAACTACCTGTACAAAGCAGAGAGCAAGCTTTTTTGCCTCCCCAACCCCCAGCTTTTCTTGAGGGGATAAAACTGGAGAAATGGGTAGGGGGAATGGCACGACAGACCCAAACCCAAGCAACTGCCACTAGAATATTCATAGAAGCTTCAGAAGTTATGATGATACAGTGCTCTAATATTAACACACAAGACTAGCAGAATTGGCACAGCGCCTTTTAGACAGTGTTAACAGAAGTTTAAAGTAGTACCACCCCTTGTGTAAACATCAAAAAAAGGTCACCTGGAGTTGCTTAAGCACTGCGAAAGAACAAGTAAGAATCAGATCTAAGAATTTCAGCAGTTATGAAACTTTCCTTCTACAAGCGTGAAACATATCAGATTCAACCTCATCCTACTCTACTCAACAGCACCTCACAAATGCTAGAGGCAAACCACTAAATCAGATCACTGTAAAGTTTCTCCAGTGAATGCTAGTTAATTATTTGAGTTGGACAGATGTTAAAGATAGGCACATAATTTGGTTGGAAAGCTCTTACTCTTTTAGTTGCAGTTTTCATATTCTTAATTCAAGAGTTCTTTGTTAGTTTTTTTTAAAGGTTTAAGTATGAAACACCTTCAAAGGAGTCCGCTTCTCTGCATGCTCTTTACAACTGAGCTTTGAAACACAGTATTTCAGATCCAACTAAGTACTTGTAATATCACACACGTTATAACTCCGGTAGCTGCCAGTCGTTGTAACAAGCCTTTATGTGAGACTTGACAGCTTAGAATTATGAATTAAGAGTGCTTATTCAATAAATTCAAATTTACAGATCACTTATTAAGCAGGAAGTCACATTTTCCCAAAGGAAAAAAATTCTAAATGGCATCAACTCCCTCCCTCTTCCCTTACGTGATAAAGTTTGTCTAAAGAAGTCTAAGAAAGCAAGTAACAGCGAATTAACTGAACGTGCAGCAGAGGCACTCTGCTATAAAACATATGCGTAGATGCACGAGGCAGCAACATTAAGCAGACCACTCTTTACACTAAACACCCCCCTTCATTAAACAAAACAAGCTGTGAAGGAACAGCTTCACCCTTTCATCTGGAGGTATTAACACGGAGTAGCGTTGCTCCAGTATAACTGAGACAGCTGCCGGGGATCATCTTTCTAAAGTAAGCTACAGCCCCATGCAGTTTCTCCTGCTCTAGTCCTCCAAGACCCAAGTATTTTACTTTCGCGACGGCCCGCCAAACCCCAGTAAAGGATTTCCAACACACAGTCCGGGTTTGTCTCACGCTCCACGCCCGATCTCCCTGCCCCTCCCCGGCTGGAGGGCCCCCAGCCCGGCGCGCCCTGCGGCCACCAGAGAGACCAACCACTCCGAAGCCGCTGCCGCTACGGAGCGTACACACTGCTCGCGACACGAAGACGAAGCCGGCTCTAGCCCCGCAGGTCCCAGTTGGGCTCCTGGCAACGCGCGCCTGCCTCTCCAACCCCGTTCCCGCCGGGAACGATCGCACCCCTCAGCCAAGCCGCGCCTCGAGTGAGGAGAGGCGGAGCCGGCCCTACACCGGAGAACGCGCGGGGAGCCGCGGCCGACTGGCGGTGTGGGGGGTAGGCCCGTTCGGGCGGGAAAGCGGGCCCGATGCCGCCGAAAAGCCGAGGGAGCACGGGTGGGGGTCAAGACCTCGGCGCAGGGTCGGGACGGCGCTACTCACCCGTCCGGCGGCAGCGCCCCGGTTCCTGGCACCGAGAGGCGTAGGCTCCCGCTCCTCGTCGCTGGAGAAGTCGGGCTGCGCGGCGGCGGCGGGCGGGTTACGGGCGGTGAGGTGCTGCAGGTAGAGCTGCACATACACGTCCTTGCGCTGCTCGCCGCCCGGCAGGCTCACATTGTTCGCGATCAGCTCGCTCTTCAGCTTCTCCTTGGTCAGCACCGACGGATCCGCCAGGAACTCGGGCATCGCCGCCGGCCACCACCACCACCCTCCCGGGAGAAGCACCAACAAAGCGCGGGGAGAGGGAAAAGGGGCGGAGGGGAAAAGAGAGGGAGGAGAGAGCGGAGGAGGAGGACTCGCCTGCCCCGCGCCAGGAACCCAGCTCCCTAACGGGCAGGCGCACGTACGGAGGGCTTCTTTCAGCCAGCAACAAGCCGCGCCCCGATTGGCAGAAAGGAGAACGAAACCGCCCTGTTATTGGCTGCCAGGAGGAATAGGAAAGAGGCGCGCGAGACCCCCCAGCGTTAGTGCTTTGCGCGCGCGAGGGATAGTAACGCAGTTTAAATTCGGCTCAGGCGGGAGACGCACGCGGGGGGGGGGCGGTGCGGTGCGGGCGGGAAAGAAAAAGAAGGGTTTGCGCGCGCTGTTTGGGGGCGATCACCGATCACCGCGGTTCCTTTTCTAATCCGTATGGGTCTCTCCGGCTGCCCCACGTCTCCCTTCACCGGCTACACAGGCTGTTTTGTTCTGCTGGGAGAAGGGACGTGGGGGCGGTTCCGGCCCGCCGTGAAGGAAATCCCTGTACCCTGCTGTGATCCCTGTAACCTGCAGTTGACACCTGCTTCTCGGCACCGGTTTTGCTTTGGTGTGCTGAGGCGGCTCCCCCACGGATACTCGGGTTCTCTGCCGGGGTAACAGGACGTGCTGCTCTTGCTAGCCAAGCGCTTAGCTTTGCCCAGCGCGTTAGCTGTCCGGCTGCAGAAGAAATCCAACCGGGAAACTGGTAGCTAAGCTGTCAGTATAACTGCTGCCGTTGTGATGACTTGCATGTTAAAAAAATAGTAACAATAAAAAAGAATTGCTTCTGTAGCATTGCAAGATTTGAAAGGTGCATAGTTTTAAGGCTGCATGGTGTTTAAACAAGGGAGTTAAACCTGTGTTTACATGCTGCTGGCTGGGAACATCCACTGCTATCAATTTTCTTGTATTTTATGATGGGAACAGATTAGTATTTAGATCTGACTACACCCTATGCTTTTGAGAGCTACCTTACAGTATCAGAGATAAGAATTGAAATGTATTTACATTTGCCCATCAATCGTTGACATACAACAGGAGTGTTAGTGTTTGTGCCTGCTCCTCTGTTTCAAAAAGTGTTTTACGCTGCTGTCGACAAAAGTGATTCCCCCGGTTTAGGTTTGCTCCATCACAAAGTATGGTGGCTGTCATTTCTGTTTACCTGGCCAGAGAGGTGAAGGTGCTGAGGGTTGTTTTTGTGGAAGGTAATTTTGAGGTAAATCAAAGATGCATGCACAAGAAGCCTGATACTTCCAACAGAGCAACTGTTGGGGCGTAACAAAGTAACTAATATAAGGGAGACGCTTGGCTTGGTGGGTTTAGTTTACCTTGTAGTGCAAATAGCCATCATCTGCAGTTCATTATACTTTATATCTGAAAGTATTTGGTTCTTGGTGTTGCATATACTTTACCTGTTCAGTCTGTTAGACAACAAGGCTGAATGGTGGGTAGAAAACATCTTCCTTCCATTGATAGCATACACAGCAAATATTCATGTACCAATGTGGATTGATTACTATCACTTACTTTTAAACCTGAATCAAACAAATTATGTGGTATCTTACCACATTTTTCCTGGAACATGGGTATCACGTGACAAGTGTTTTGGAAATGCTTAAAGAAAATCAAATTCATTTACAAATTTGATAGTAATAATTTAGTGTAGATAAGAGTAGATAGTATGTTTCACCTTCTTGGTGACTTTAAAATAGATCTTTCCCCCACCTTTAAGAATTTACATCTTGCTCAGATATGAAACCAGTTGCAGACTGACATGGCGTTTAAAATTTTAATAGTTTAAACAGGTAAAACTACCTTTCAGTTTAAACTATAACTATGTTTTTATATAAACATAGTTTAAATAGCTTAAACATAGTTAAAATAGTTTAAAAACTCAAAATTTGGAGTTTAAGCTTTATTATTATTTTAAATATATATTGTGAACAAGAACTTAAAGAGAAATGGGAGATTATGAATAAATAATAAGGTGCATAGGTGTACAAGGAAAATACAGCAGTCCATAAATATAGTTAAGAACTCAGTTGTACAGTAAAAAGAAAGGGTATAAAAATGTAGATGGCTAAAGCAATATGTGTGTAGCAGAATAATAATCTACCATGAATTAAAATATGCAAGTACTGGGGACTAAATTGCTTTTACTACTCTAGAAAGTTGCTTTTACTACTATAGCAGTAAATTACTAAACAGCTTTTACTACTTTAGAAAGCATCAGAGATTCTTCAGCTATCACACTAATGTGAAAAATAATAACCTCAGTTCATAGAATTGTATCACAGAGTCACAGAATGGTTTGGGTTGGAAGGCACCTTAAAGCTTATCCACTTTCAACACCCTGCCAGAGACAGGAACACCTTCCACTAGACCAGGTTGCTCAAAGCCACATCCAACCTGGCCTTGAACACTGCCACAGCTTCTCTGGGCAACGTGTTCCAGTGTCTCACCAGCCTCACAGTACAGAATTTCTTCCTAATGTCTAATCTGAATCTACCCTCTTTCAGTTTAAAGCCATTCCCCCTTGTCCTGTCACTACATGCCTTTGTAAAAAATCCCTCTCCAGCTTTCCTGTAGGCCCACCTTAGGTACTGGAAGATTTCTACAAGATCTCCCTGGAGCCTTCTCTTCACCAGACTGAACAACCCCGTAAATCCATAAAAAATCCTCAATACAAAATAGTCCTTTATTCCCTGGTTCTACCCTTTTTGTTCTCACTCCTTGGGTACGACAGGCTTTCTCCAGGCAAGGTACAGACAGGGAAAGTACTAGAGAAAGCACCAAAATGTGCATGTACTTAAATAATGGTTAACACTGCAACCTGCAGTTATCACCAGAGTTAAACCTTAGACAATTAGCTGAACATTTACACCTTTATTGTTTGCTTTGAAGCAAAGAAAGGTTGCATTTTGTAGCATAAGGCAGCAGTCAAAGGGGATAAGGGAGTGAGCTCCTTATGAGCAACCTTGAAAGATCTTTTTTTTATTTTAACCAAAAAAACCCAAATCCATGAGGTGGTCCATATGCCAATATGATGATTAGTGTCTTAGAGGTTTTGCTGTGCCTTCCGTGAAGCATTCCAGTATTTAAATGTTTATTCCGAACAACAAGTTCTGGTTTTCAAAGACCAGAATACCAGCCTTTATAAACAGCTAGTCATATTTTACCTCTTGGCAGTAAAAATGGCGACAAAAGGAAAGTTTAGGAAAAAAGTGCGAATAGTGTTAAAATATGCCTGTTTTCAGTGATTAAAGAACTGCCATAAGCTTGCCTAAAAATAAGAAATATTCTGAAGTTTGACGCCAAAAATCCTTTTTAGGCCTCTCCCAAATGTCTGGAATTTGTTCTCTTTTCTGAGCATGAGAAAGAGATTTTTAGTCATACAGTCTTCTTTTTCAGGAAAACACTGAATGTCTTCTGAACTATCTCACTTGTCTAGATTTGGCTTTCCCCAAGTTTATGATTTCTAATCTCTAATGCCACCCAGAAAAATGAGACAGGTAGTTTATGTTGTGCCACACTGAAAAAATGAATTTTCTCTACTTCTGTGTTCAAAAATGATCCTAAATTCCATGGAGGGGTTAGAGAAAATTAGGTGGCTTTTTAATAACTCTTTCTTATCCAGAACATCTTTTTTTAAGCATAATCCAAGTAGAAATGGAAAGCAGTAAGAAAAAAGCACATCTTACCCCAATGGAGCATATCACTTCTAGAGCAATTCCCTTAGAGAAGACATTTCATCTCTTGCTGAATTGGCCAGTGGATATACTGGGGAACAGGGACGTTATCAGGGGAACAGGCCAGGTAGCCCGCTGAGGGATGCTGCTGGATCTGTGTCACCCAATGTGGTAAAGACAGATGGTTGCCCTTGCTGTGGACACAGGGTGCCCAGTGCTGCAGGTGGTCTGTACAACTGTCCCCACAGGGGCAGGGATCTAAGGTGTATTTAATTCTTTCTTTTAGTTTTGAAATGTCACTAGGTTATTTCAATTTAGGGTCAGTAGGCTCTTCCTCCAAAGAATAACTGACAAAGTTAACTGAATGGTGGTGGTAGTGGTGGTTGCCAAATCCTGCTCTCCCTCCTGTCCCAGGCCATGCACCTGTGATGCTTTCCTTGTGCTGGACCTCCTAGTCATGCCACGAGATCTGCATGCTGAGCCAGCAGCTGCCACTGCACAGTTGTACAACATGATCCAAGTGGAGTGGGAGAAGCAAGCAGGCAGGGACGGGCAGGGCTGAGCCAGACCAACTGCTTCATGACACCCTGCACCTGCATTACACAAGGTCTGCTGGTGTGAAACCACACACTGAGAACTTTGGCTCCCATTAATAGATGTTCTGTATTATCAGGAGATGGACCCTCACTGCAGGCCAGAGATGCTGTCTGGCAGCAATCTGGAATACTCGAGACACGTGCCTGCTCTGGCTGCGGACAGGAGTGTGAGCAAATTGCCACCAATTCTTATATCTAGCTCTCTGAGGGACCACAGGGCACAGACATCAGGTATTTGGTGGGACCAGGGAAACATCTAACGGATTATCCATCCAGTACGAAATGCATCCATCTAACAGATCCTGCATCAAAAAAAAAATGAGGACTACCCACAGAAATGGAAGTCCTCTCAGCGTAGCATGTCAGGCAGTCCTCTGCTTCGTTTCAGACCTGGTAAAACCTGAGTCAGCTGAAATACTGTGACTAGTTCTGGGCACTTAAAAATGCAACACATTTGGAAAGACTCCAGAGGCAAATAACACAAATCATCAGAGGCCCAGCAAACACGGTCTGTTACCCTAGAGCAGCTGCGGAGACGCATAGCAAATTTCAAATATGTAAGAAGTACCTATAAAAAGGAAAGGAATAAACTGTCCTCCAGTGCAATAGCACAAGTGCTGGATTTAAGTTACGTTGAAAAAGACATCAGGACTAAAATACACATGGCTGCTTCCTAACAGGACAGCAAAACACTGGAACAGAGCACTTAAGAAAAATACAGAATTTCTGTATTTGAGAGGTTTTAAGGGTATATGGAACAAATATTAGCCTGTAAATCCCAAAGTCTTTATCTTGAAAACCCCACATAATTGGATGACTGCTGAGTCTGGTTTCTAGGACTTCTGTATTCTCTTCACTTTCTGCCATGGTTTACAACACTAACAATCAGTTCTCCAGATTTAGAATTATATCTCTGGAGTCTTTCTCTCCATGCCTCAAATTCAGGCCTATTGACAAACTGTTCTGTTTCCTTCCTA